GAAATAGTATAGCTAAACCTATTATAAACATGATCAACAACAAAATCAAAAACTTTCTTCAACTTATCAAATACAAGAAACTGGCACTATTACAAATATCCTCTTTTTTTAATCTTGTTCTACAACCTTTACTTGAATATCTTCTTCAAATTATTACTATTAATATATTAAACTAAACCAAACTTTCAAAATTACTTTCTGTTCAAACAAAAAAATGCTCTCTCTAGCAAGAAACACCAACAATATTATCTTGACCAATCCACTTATTTTCAATCTTTCAATATTTAACAACATTATTCAAAAAGTCAGTGCATCAAATATCGAACATATCTTTAATTCCAATACACTCTTTCACAATATTGAAACCATTTACATTAAATTATAGTTGGCCAAAATATAGTATTCTGAATTATCAACTAATATACTCATTAAACATTATTGTAAAACACATAACTATATCTTAATATTTCATCTTTTATAACTCACAAAAAACAATATCACACTTTCTATTATTACACAAATCTCTAATAACACTACAATACAATTAACTAATTCCTATCTAATATATGACATAATTTCTTAAACCCATTTATCTTAACACTCAATAGTCTTAAAAACAATAAAATTCTTTATATTAAACAAATTACTACTGCTGATAATTTTTATTTCCTTTCCTGGAGCAATATATATTTACAAACAAACAAATTAATAAAAGGTTATTAACCTTCTTGGTTTACTCTAATTCAACAAACTGTACATAATAATACAAACTTTGTCATCTGGCCTTATCTAAATTTACTAACTATTAACTTATTTTTAAACTCTTTAATTTTTTTTTACATATCACCTAACCTTCAACACTTCTCACTCTTTCAATTATACTATACAAATAACTCTGATATTATCTTTTTACAATATAACAATATTCAACATCCTTTATATTATGCTATAAACAACTACTTTACAAACCAAATCTATCTAAAACCAATCATCTTATCATTACTAACAAATTTTAATTGCTTTAATCTTTCTTATCATCAAATTAAAACCTATAATAACCTCCTCATTCTACAAATTGACTATAAAAAATTTTTGGCTCTAATCTACATATCAACCAACCTTACTACACTACTTCTTAACCAATTATCTTTCTAAATAAACGTATACACTTGTAATATTCAACTTATACAACAAACTACTAACTCTATCAACTATTAAAATCAACTTATTAACCTCAATTCTATCTTACAAAATTTACATCTGACTGAACTCAACTTCTATACAGATGCTTCTTTTAAAACCTAAAAACACCTTCTATAAGGTCTGGTATTGGATGAATCTGTAAAGAAAATACTTCAATCAAATTCAATACAGTAATTCAATTCTTTTCTGATTCTACTTGTATAGAATTAATGTTAATCATATCTATCTTATTTGCTACATTCTTTAATACCTTACTCAATATTTATATTGACAACCTAATAGTTATCAAAAATCTTACTTTATTTATCTCAACCAAATTAATCCAACAAAAAAACTAAAACATTCTGTTTATAATTAATTCTTTAAAAACAGCTAAAAATATTAATCTTAACCTTATTAAAGTTAAATCTTATTTTACAAATTCATTTTACAATTAAGCTGATTCATTAACAAAACAAGATACTAACAAATCTATTTTAACCCATCTACTTATTTTTTATAGAATAATCATCTCATCCTTCTCAAAATTTATATATTTATTAAAAATATTATTACAATTAATAAACTTAATACATAGTTATTACTTAAATTTTTTAACAACATATCTAACATTGAATAGTCCCTAATGTTTAAAATATTAAACTTCTTGAAACATAATCTACAACTTTACTCTTTTCACATTAAAATCCTAACAAATAACTTACCTATTATGCAAAACCTAAATATATGTTATCTGTACCTATATACTACTCCAATTTGCTATTAATGCTTGAATATAGAAGATGCCTTACATATACTGCAATGCAACAAAAACAATTTAAATATACAACAAATACTTCTTAATACAATTGACAATACTTTAACAACACTCAATATTTTATCTATCTTATTATCTACTCTTCTAAATACAATACTTTATTTTACACTCAATACAACTAATCCACAATATCATTATATTCTAAACCTACTTGTTGGCATTATATCCAATATGACTTTTGATAATATTAAAATACTTATAAATAAACAAACTACACCTCTCTTTATAAACTTATCTAACAATCTTCTATCTTAGTTCTTTAACAAAATTAGGTTTTCTCATAATATTGCACAACATCAATAAGAAACTGCTTATAATATTACTTTTAAAAACAAATGCAATAGACTTTTCTTATCTATTATAACTCCATTATCCAATACAAACTTAACTACAATTCAAATTAATAACAATTCTCCTGCTATTGAAAAATGGCTCTTTTAAGATTACTTACTAACTTCCTGCTTTATATAATAATAAGACAAATACTTTAGGTTCCCTTTAACCTATCCTAGCTAGAAATTAATAAATTAATTGACTATAGCATTTATTAAGAAATAGGAAGTGTAATATCACATTGGGTGTCTTAAAAGAAATATTCTTAATTAAGCAGCGCAAATGTAGTTAGAAATCTTTAATATAGAAATTTTCTTCTATATATTTATAAAGTTTTTACTCTAATATTATACAAATAAATAAATAAATAAATAGCATTTCAGTATGGTCCTATGATTAGATCATTCAGTATTATATACTGTATTTAGTTAATAATTATTTTAGAATAATTTTGTTTAAAAAGATACATTAAATAAAGCATAAAGATTAAGAAATTCTTCTTTTACATTCTATAGAATATGAATTCATCATTTGAATAATCTTTCTTGTTATAGTTTAACATGTTTAACTTTCTAAAGAACTTTGTTTTTTTCAGAATTTTTACTTAAGAAGATATAATGAAGAAGTGCTTAATTATAAATATTTGAAGAATATTATGTATTTATTTGAAAGACTATCTGTATTTATAATATTACTATATTTGGTATAATGTTTATAATATTTGTTTAAAGTAAGAAAAACAAATTAATGTATTTTAGAAAAAAAAAATAAACATGTTCTGAAGAGAAGCTATAGAATGCATCATCATTAATGCATTATTTATATTATTAAAAAAAATTAATTTTGATTAATTAGTCAGTAATTGAAATATATATATTATTTGCTCTATTTTTATTAAATATTAGTACTATTGTTTTATATATATCAAACATTTATTACAAAAAGTATTTAAGATAGTTGTTTGCACTATACATTAGCTTGTTAAAAATTCAATAAAATCTTAAAGATATAATAATAAAAAATAATGCCATCTGATAAAAAAGAACCAGTATACAAATCAAAAAAAATACAATGTTATTGCCTAAGATGTAATGTAAAATATGTTAATCTTAGAACTAAATGAGATCATATGCTTTAGCCAATATTGAAAGTGCTAGTACAAGCAAAGTAGAATTATTATCTAAATATAAGCATAAAGAAGAGCCACTTCCTGAACTTTCAAAATATAATAATTCAGAAAGTAAAAGTTCAAAAAATGAAGATATAGAAGAAGAAGATAGTGATATTAAAGATTCAAATAATAATCATTCTGATAGCAATCATATAGAAACTAATAGATTAGAAAGTAAAGATAGTACTAGCAATAATATAAAAAGTAATAAATCATAAAATAAAGAAGATAGTACTACTAATAAAGAAAATAGTACAAGTAATAAAAATAATATAGAATTAAGCACAGATTCTATAAATACATTTCTTGAAGATATTTTAATAAACAATCACCAATCATCAATAAAGCAGCTAAAGATATATTTAAACAATCTTTATTTGTTAACAATAATGAAGAATTAAATATTAAACAACCTTTAGAAGAATTATTACTATACAATATATATTAGCATCTGATAATAATAATATTATAATAATTCAAGATAAAGAGCCTAATAATTCTCCTTTACTAAGAAATTCTTCAAATGACTCAAATAATACTGCAAGTGAATCTTTAAAAGATTTACAAGAAAGTCATATACCAATTATTTTATTCTACTAAAAATTGTTTCTAAAATTTTTAATCTACTATTCACTTTTGCTAATAGTAATAAGAATAAAGCAATCATCTTATGAATAATAAAATATTAGCAATGTTTCAATATATCTGATATTAGAACAGAAGCATTAATTAAGTTTCTTCACTATATATTTATATATTTCAAAATAAATGAGACTAATAGTTTCTTGACTTTTATGTTTACAGCTAAATCATCTTTGGGTATTTTAACTAAATATAAAAAATATATTGTTTGCCCAAAGTGTTATAAACTTTACAGATTTATTATCTTCTTTATAATTTTTAACATCTAATAATCTATATACAAAAGATATTTATATCTCAAATATTCTGAACATAGATCATTATCTTAAAGATTGGCCTGTAATGAACCATTAGCAGAGATTATAAAAACTAAAAAATGATCTTTATTATGACTATTAAAACTTTACCCAATTAGAAATATAAGATAACAACTTTATATAATGTATTAGTAACCAGGCTTTGAGAATATGTTATAGCATTCTAGCAATAGAAATATTCCAAATAAAATTTTCTTAGACATATATGAGGATGATATTTGAAAAAACTTTTCGATTAATTCTAATAATCCTTAACTATTTTTTACAAATAACAAACTTGATATCCATATTAGCCTAGCTCTTAATATCAATTAGTTTCAACTATTCAATTATACAGTTCATAGTACTGGAGTAATTTATAAAGTTTTGTATAATTTATTTTATAAAAAATGATTCAAAACAAATAATATGTTAATATTAGGTATTATGCTAAGACCTAATGAACCTAGTAAATATCAAATTAATCACTATCTTGCACCAATTGTTGATAAGTTATTAAAATTTTCTTTTGGTTTAGATTTATTAGTAATATTTAAATATAATAAAGATAGGAAGATATATATAGCATTAATATTATTTGCTAATGATGTTCCAGCTGCAAGAAAGATTTGTAATCATGCAAGTCATATAGTTAAATGTTATCATTGCCCAAAACATTTAAAATATGATCCTGATACTAAAAAATCCACTATAATGGTTTTGAAAATATGAAGAAATATTTAATTCTGTAAATATCTTATAATATTTTGATGCAGCAAAACAATGATTACATTGCACAAATAAGAATAAATATGAACAATATATTAAAGATACAGAAGTAAGATAGTCAAAACTATATTGTCTAAAATATTTTGATCTAGTTAAATTTATGGTTGTTAATCCAATGCATTGCTTATTCTTAGGCATTAGCAAATAGATAATGGAACAGTATTTATTAAATCATAATAAACTTGACAATGCTAAACTTTTAACAATTAAAAAATATATATCAAATATTAAAGTTTCTGCCAATATAGATCATATTTTATCAAAAGTTATATATAAATTAGAAGAGTTTAATCAATTTACAGTGGATCAATAGAGAATATTCTACCAAGTCTATGCTATTTTTTGCATATGAGATATATTAGATTTTGAAGATAAAGAAATCATTTTTAATTTTATCTATATATGCAATTCATTAATAAGCCAAATAGTCAAGCAAAACAACATAAACGAAGCATATAATCAGCTAATAAACATGGCACAGTTAATTGAAAAAATTATAGCCTAACATATATATAATCAAATATTTATTTATTACTTCACATTAGGCAATATTGTTCAGACTATGATCTATTGTATATTTATTAGTGCTATTCTTTCAAAAGAATAAATGGTCTATTAAGATCCTATCTGACAAGCAATCGATTAATTGAACCTGAACTTATATGCATCTTAATGAAAAATGCACAAGTAGAATTTAGAATAAATTCAGCAGATAGTAATGACACAAGATTATTATTGAACCAAGTTCTTTCACTTTTGGATAAAAAAAGTATATAGAAGTTTAAAAATAACTGAAAACTTTGAGAGTAAAGATTTGGTAGCATATCTAAAAATGGCTAATAAAATTAATACAACAAATATAATTACAGAAACAAAAAGATATCCTAGTAAAATGTTAAAACTAATTCTTTAAAATGTATATTTTTCTCAAAATATTTATTAATATCTTGTTGAATATTATTTTACATTATACATATAATATAACATTGCCATCAGTTGATAATGCTGTAACCTAATATAGAAAATTAAGTTTAAAGACTGATATATATAGTTTAAAGATAGTTTTTTAATATGTTAACCACTCATATATTAGAGCAAAGTTCTTAGCCTTTACAGATAATTTTGTTGATATATATTCAGGACAAATATAATTTTTTTTTCTATATAAATTTTTTAGTAATACCTTTCATTTAGCTTATATTTGATAGTATTAGCTACACAAAATATAAAGATATTACTTATTATTAAAGAATAATAAATATTGTGATATAAAAATTTGGTAAGATAACTTTTATAATAAAGCTAAAGACTGTATAATTTCTGTTCAAAGAATATTAAAATAATTTATCTCTTCATTATACAAATTTAAATATAGTACTTTATTGCAAAATGTATTAGTAGTAATTTCAACAAATAAATAATTTAATATATAAT